TTTGCAAAGCCAAAGAAACCATCAAGAGAGCAGGGAGACAGCCTACAGACTGGGAACAAGTATTTGCCAACACCGGGTCTGACAAAGGCCTAACATCTTGGATCTATAAGGAACTCAAACGTGCTGAAAAGAAAAAACAAACAACCCCATTATAAAGTGGGCAGAAGATATGAACAGACACTTCTCAAAACAAGACATCCGAGCAGCTAACAGACACATGAAAAAATGTTCAACCTCACTAATCATCAGGGAGATGCAAATCAAACCACACTGAGATACTACCTAACTCCAGTCAGAATGGTTATTATCAATAACTCAGAAAATAACAACTTCTGGAGAGGGTGTGGTGAAAAGGGAACACTTCTACACTGTTGGTGGGAGTGTAAACTAATGCAACCTCTGTGGAAAACAGTATGGCGATTCCTAAAAGCTCTAAATATTGACCTCCCATATGACCACGCAATTCCCCTACTGGGAATATTTCCTGAAGAACTCAAATCACTCTATAAAAAGGATACCTGCACACATATGTTTGTCGCAGCATCGTTCATAATAGCAAGAACCTGGAACCAACCATACTGTCCATCAAAAGAGGACTAGATTTTTAAAATGTGGTACATATACACGATGGAATACTATGCAACCATAGAAAAGAACAAAATCATGAATTTTGTAGCAACCTGGATGGAACTAGAGTCTATAATACTGAGTGATCTCTCACAGAATCAAAGATCTGAGTATCACATGTTCTCACTCATATAGTGGACCTTGAACATCCAACGTAATACTACAAGAAAATGACTGACAGTGGTGGGAAACTATGGGGGTGGGAAGGGAAGGGAGATGGGATTAACAGTAGTAAATATCTGTCTGGGGATGGGGAGACACCTCTTATCAACAAGGGTGCCTGAACGGAGCATATTTGTATACCTAACCCTTAACTGTACCCCACAATAGAAAAATAAATAAATAATAATTTTAAAAAGAAACTGAATTAAAAAAAAAACCACTGGGGAGAGGAGAACCTATTCAGTAAATGGTGCTGGGAAAACTGACACATGCAGAAGACTGAAACAGGATCCCTACCTATCATCAAACATAAAAATCAACTCTAAATGGGTCAAAACCTAAACATATAACCTCAAATTATAAGAATCTTAGAAAACGCAGGAGACATGCTTACAGAAATCAGAGTAGGCAACCAATTTTTAATCAAAACCCCAAGTATCCATGCCATAAGAGAAAAGATAGACAAGTGGGACCTCATCAAACTGAAAAGCTTCTGCAAGCAAAAGAAACCATCAAGAGACTGAGGAGACAGCCCACTGAATGGGCAAAAATACTTGCCAACTATATATCTCACAAAGGCCTAGCATTCAGAAACTACAAGGAACTCAAACATGCCAAAAGGAAAAAAAAACAGTTCCATTAAAAAGTGGGCAAAAGACATGAACAGACACTTCTCAAAAGAAAATATACAGGCAGCCAACAGACACATGAAAAAGCGCTCAACTTCACTAATCATCAGAGAAATGCAAATCAAAACCACACTGAGATACCACCTAACCCCAGTAAGAATGGCCATCATTAAAAAAACAACAGATGCTGGTGAGGCTGCGGAGAAAAGGGAACGCTTCTACACTGTGGTAGAAATGCCAACTAGTTCAATCTCTATGGAAAACAGTGAAGCAATTTCTAAAAGAACTAGACATTGACCTTCCATATGACCCATTAATTCCCCTACTGGGAATATACCTACAACTCAAATCATTCTACAAAAACAATACCTGCACATGCATGTTTATTGCAGCACTATTCACAACAGCAAAAACATGGAACCAACCATCTTGCCCATCAAAACTACACTGGAAAATTAAAATCTGGTACATATACATGATGGAATATTACACAGCCATAAATAAGGACAAACATATGGACTTCGTAGCCACTTGGATGGATTTAGAGTCTACAGTACTCAATGATCTATCACAGAAACAAAGAAATAAGTACCACATGTTCTCACTCATAGTGGACCCCGAGTATTTACCATAATACTGTAAGAATACTATAATACTATTAGCAGTAGCAGGATACTGCCGGGATGGGGGCAGTGGGACACAGCAATAAGGGTACCTGATCTCAAGCTAGGCAAAGTGGGGATCAAAGGTAGGCCCAAACTTTACCTGTACGATGCCCACTTGTATACTTAATCCTGAATTGTACCCCACATCTTTAAAATAAAAATGAAAGAAAAAAAAAAAACTGGAGGACTCATATTTCCTGATTTCAGCACTTACTACAAAACCACAATTAAAACAGTGTAGTCCTAGCATAAAAATAGACATACAAGCTAATGGAATAGAGCATATAGCCAACAAGTAAACCCTCACAGATATGGTGAAATTGTTTTATAGAAGGATGCCAAGACCATTCAAAGGATAAAATACAGTCTTTTCAACAAATCATGATCGAAAAACTCAATAGTCACATGCAAAAGAATGAAGTTGGATCCTTACCTAATAGCATATACAAAAATTAACGAAAAATGGATAAAAGACCTACAAGTAAGATCTAAAGATATAAAGCTCTTAGAAGAAAACACAGGGCAAAAGTGTCATAGCAATGCATGTTACAATGATTTATTGAATGTGACATTAAAAAGTACAGGCAGCAAAAGAAAAAATAGAGAAACTGGGCTTCATTAAAAGTAAAACACTGTGTTTTTGAAGACATCCTCTTCAAACTAAGAAGGCAACAAGCAGAATGGGAGAGAACATCTGTAAATCATATATTTCATATAAGATTGGTATACAGAATATGCAGAGAACTCCTAAAATTCAACAACAGGAAAACCAAACCATCTAATTCAAAAAGGACTTGAAGAGACATTTCTCCAAAGATGATATACAAATGGTCAATAAGCACATGAAAAAGTACTCAACATCACTAATCTTTAGATAAATGCAAATCAAAACTACACAATGACACACCATATCACACATTAGGATGGCTACTATCAAAAAAACAAAAATAAGGGGAGGTGAAGAGGTGGTGGAGTAATTGAAACCCTTGTGTACTATTGTTGGGAATGGAAAATTGTGCAGTTACTGTGGAAAACAGCACAGTGGTTCCTTTAAAAATTAAAAATTGCCAGGCTCGGTGGCTCAGCCTATAATCCCGTGCCTTTGGGAGGCTGAGGTGAGTGATTGCCTGAGCCCGCGGGTTCGTGATCCGCCTGGGCAGCGAGACCTCATCTCTACAATA